ATGATCTCAATAAAGATCGAAACGTGCCACGTTAAAAAAAATGTTTTTCTAAAACCTACGTCACAGCAGACCGCATCTCACGACCTCCAAATAATCATCAAGTAACGGTCGCTAAACACCACACATTTGTACAAACGTACCTTCAACAGCATAACAGGGACTTAGCCTGGCCAGCCTTGAACCCCCTCGAACATTTATGGTATAATCTCAAAAGACGAATAAGAGCAAGTCCATCACTTCCTGATACACCCCACGATCCTGAAAGTGCCTCCAGCAAAGAGACATTTCCATACTGGTAGAAAGTATGCTGAGGCGTCTTCGAGGTGTAATTAAGGCAAGAGGAGGAAATAGGAGATATTGAAATGTTAATTAAAAATCTAAAACAAATTTTATCTGTCGATCTTTTTTAAATTTTTATTTTTCATTTTCCTTAGCAATTTATTTTTTTTTTTTTTTACTTTTTTAGACAAAGACTCAATTATTAAACGTTAAAAAACGTGAAACTTTGATTAACGTACAAAAATATATACAAATCAAGTTATATTACAATTACAAGTGGGCGGAATTTTTCCCTGTCAGTGTATATTAAGGCATATTATTGTAACAACAACATACTCAACAGAACAAAGCAAGTTTTTATCACGCCCTGAGATAGTTCTTTTCGGCTAAACGGTATATGGAGCAAAACGAATTAGGATCAATCTTATATATCTGCTTTAAAAAAAAAAAAGACAATATTTACTGTATGGGCCTGGAAAAACTAGTTATTTCAAAAGAAGTTCAGTAGGTAGGGTGTAGGGCAATGAGGATTCTGTATAAGTTGTGAATAATCACTATAATTAGATTCTTTTAATTTAATGTGATCGTTTTCTTTTAAGGAGTTGACATTTGTAAGATAAACTATAGTATGGGTCAGTTCATTTACATCTTGTCAGTACCACAAATCAAGGAACCCTATTTATGAAAACAGGCTATTTATCTATATAACCCAACTGTACTGGGCCCTGTTTGACGGTGAAGAATCAAGTACTAGGAGATTAATGTAACAAATTCGGGGTAGTCTATCTGACTCATAGCTAGCAACTTACATAACCATCTCAGGGCGTGCTTAAAGACAACGGCTGAAATATGATTTACGTCAGTTTCAATAGAAATCATACAGTTCGGGGTGGGTTTGATCAACTGAAATAATTTTTTAAAGAAATTTATTTGGGCCTGATCCAGTAAACCAGGATATCTTAATACCCCACACCGGAGCAAAATATAAAAAACAGGATCGAGCAATGTATGGAAAAGGTTTAAGACGAGATTCCCATAGATTGCATTTTGTTCTGATGAGTATATTGTTGACAGTACCACATGATATTTTAAAACGGGAGATTGCATACCTAGGTAATTAAATATATTTTTCTTTCTTATTTCATTTCAAGTAGAGTAACTTCTTTTCTGCTCAATCTCTTCCCCAGTGAAATTTGATTAAGTATGTTTTTGATATATTCTCAATGAGAAAAAAAAAGTATTTCAAAAGATATTTGATTGTTGACGATCTTGTAGCTTGAACTTCGGAGTCTATGTCATGGGCCAATTGAGTAATAGGTTATTTGTGATTTCTGATTATTTTTATAGTGAGTTGAAGAAAAAAAAAATAGCTACGTAGTCTGATAAAATGTTGATTAACTGTCTGGCCCGACCGACCGAATTAATCGATGATTTCCCCTCTTTTTTTACTGTACTCCAATTACAGAAATGCCCCAAAAAAATACAGACCCCCCAGATAGAAAATAATTAATAAAGTATTTTTTAAACATGAAAGTCACGGCATGTCTGCCACTCTTTTTCGCTCTCCATTTCATTTTCTTCCACTCACATTTCGTCACGGGAAAATCTCACTTTTACAGGCAGACATGATATTGTAAGGGTAATGATAATAATAAATATCAGGTCTGACTTGCCTGGTTTGCACGAAACACCCTCATCGCCCTTTATTTCTTTTTCTATATCCCTTTCTTTTCATCTCAATATTTCATTTTCTATCTGTTTTCCTCTTCCCCTCAGACGTTAACATACGCACAAACATCAATATTTCAAAAAAGATAATACTAATTTTCAATAAATAAAAGAAATCAGCAGCTTGAAATATAGGAATGATCTCGACAGCAGACTGACGTGGAATCCTCACACAAGACAAAAAAAACTTAATACAAGACTTGGAATACTACGGAAGACTTTTAAGACCGAACTCGACTTTGACAAGTAATACAAACCCCAACCCTGTACAAGATTTTACCAATATGGACATAAGGAACTGTGGGGTACTGCCAAGCCGTCCAATATCCAGCGCATCCAGCCCTTCCAATCGAAAGTCCTTAGACAAATAGTCAAAGCAACTTTTTATGACTCTAACCTCACTTCCATAAAAGACTTCAAACATTCCTTTTGTCAACTAACTGATCCGGTCCAGATTCGAAACCTTTCGAACCATCTAACCATACTGCTCGAGCCCTTTCCACTTAATCCCATCCTGACCACCCGCCACGTCTCTACCGACCTCGGGGACCTCCTTGACACCTAGTCATACACATTGAGTGCCAGCAATGGCTGGTTCCTCAAAACGTGTTCTGCCGGTGCACTGCTGGCATTAGTGTTAGTGTTGTGCTGTGTGACACATTAATCATGTGTACATATTTGTATAGTATACTATCATGTATAGGTAACAAATAAATTTAAATTTTTAATAAATAATATTTTTCACCTGCTTAGCAAGTGCTTGCTTTCAATAAATTTTTCGGACGGTTTTTCACTCGACGTGTTGATAGTGAAAAAAAAACTTGTAAATTTATATCGAGCCGTTTTAAGATGTAATTGATTTTGTGGAACATTGTCAAACTTGATACTAATTCGGATAGTTTTAGAGAGTCTCGTCTATAATTTATGTGCAACAGTCAGATTGTTATGCAATGCCTGTTAATAGCCGGTCTGATGCTTGCAAGACCGCGCCCTATAAAAACGGACCAAAACAATTTTTTTTAAAGTTCGAAAATCGTGATGTAAATAGTGCGTTATACAATAGAAAGGTATTTTCCAACGACTTTGATCATTACGCTCTAATCCCAGGGAGAAAAAATAGACCTCACAATACGAAATCAGCAAGAAAAATATTATTTGATCTTCGAATTGATATATTTTATCTTTATAAACAAGCCAAACATTTATTGACGAAAAAAAATTCGCTTGCTCTTACATTAGACACTAGTGATGCAATATCGTGTTTTGTGATTTACCCCATCTAGTACGTACTAGAATAACAAATATTTCCGATTTTTTTTTCTAAATATTTTTTTTTTCATAGATAAACGCAAAAGCATAAAAGGTGTCAGTTATCTGTGTGATAAGAGTGATAATGTCCAATTATTGAAGCCGAGCCTCGCGAACTATCGATCGTTCTATTTTCATCTTACTTCTCCAAAATCAACTTGTGCGAACAAAACGATTCCGTCCTTATCAATTCTTTTGTTTTATACTATTGACTGGAAAGCTAATTTGAAAACATTAAACAAAGAAGTTTCTTTTGTATTTTTGCAGTTAAATGAAACAAAGATGCCTTTAGTATAAAAGATAAAAGAAAGAAAGGGATACTGCGAAATATTGATAGCTAGAGGAAATAGAGATCTCATACCTCACTACACCTGTTGTTTATCGTTATTATAATCGTTATCGTTAAAATATCAATAAAATTTGTCTGTTAGGCTATAATTTCGTTGAGCGCGTATTAAAAGGGAAACAAGAAAAAGAGAAAGAAAGCGAAAGTAAGACAGCCAGACATGTTGTGAAACTGTATGTTTCATAGAAGGAAAGAGAAAGTGTGAAAAAGAGAAAGACAGTAAGAGAGAAGAAAATGGAGTATAGACAAGCATAGAAACCGTGAAAGGCTAACACAGGTTAGGAAAACAGATAGAAAATGAAAAGAGATATTGAAGAAAAAGGAGTTTCATACAATGATAGAGACAGAAGAAGAGAGGGAGGATAGGAAGGAAAGATAGAGGAAGAGGTATATAGAAATACAGAAAGATAAATAAATAAATATATAGAGTGAGTGAGAGAGAGTGAGGGAGAGTTATTACAAATTACAAAGATGACTGGACTAGATAAAATTCTAAGAAAGGAAAGCATAAAATAAAATGATTCCTCAGAATTCATGCTTGTAGAAAATTTACACGTTTAAACTACTTGGGGTTGCGCAAGAATTTATTGACGTCAATAAAAATCCAATTTCCTCCTTTGCCGTTTAAAAGGCAAAATAAAAAGTAATTAACAAGTTGCATATGTTTTTGAAATCTTCAGCCCTCCTCTCTCTCTCTCTCTCTCTCTCCACACACACACACACACATTCATTTTCTCTCACTTTTTCCACTATTTTTTCGTACTGTCCTAAGTATGAATAATAAGACAAATAATCAAAAGTTCCTAAAGAGTTCTCTCTCGTTCACTCCCTTTCATTCTTTCTCTTCCTCCCATTTGCTTCACGCTCTCTGCCCCATTCCTTCTACCAAACACCATCATTTGATCTCACTTATAGTCCTCTTTTTCTCGCTATCTTCCTTTTGCTCTTATATATCTGTTTTACCCGATTTTCTCACCCTTCTCTCTTTCTGTCGACAAGTACCTTTTTCTCTAAATCTCTATCTAGTCTCTCTCTCTCTCTGTGTCTCTCTCTCTCTCTCTCTGTGTCTCACTCTCACTCACTCTCACTCTCTCTCTCTCTCTCTCTCTCTCTCTCTCTCTCTCTCTCCCTCTCTCCCTCCCTCCCTCCCTCCCTCCCTCCCCTCTCTCTCGTGTGAAATTTGTTCTTTCACATCCGCGGAAATGTAATAAAATGGCTAATTGATAACTACAGTAAATATTTATTTTTATGCACCTATATCAATAGTCATCAATTGGATAAAAAATTGATAACGCGGATCGAAAACCATTGCCTATGCAGGTTCGATTGGAATTAAAGATTTTTTGTTTAAATGAATCAGAATTGATCTTTAATATTGTCGCTTTGTCATGTTCAAAAAAGGGCTATTCTATGGATTGAAGTCGAGGTCTCCATGATTCCCACACAATGCCTCTGATGACCTTTCCAAACAATTAATCATCCTGTTGTTCATGCTTGCATTTCGGGGCTTCGTCCTAAGCATTGCTGTAGTGCCCTCAATCGCATTCCTTAAAGAAGATAAACAAAATATAAGTCAAAGTAATGTTTAGAATTATAAAGGGATCTTCGATTCGATTAGCATGTTGCACTTGATTAATTTATAACGCACTACCTATCATTTTCAGCTTGTTNACACACACGCTCTCTCTCTCTCACACACACACACACACACTCGCTCTTTCTCTCTCTCTCTCTCTCTCTCTCTCTCTCTCTCACACACACACACACACACACACACACACACCACTCACTTACTCGCACATTTTTTCCTGGTGGATATTTTTCCATATCTGGAATATTTTTACCGGTAGTGTGATAGTTGAATATTTTATTATTCTGATGCTGACCTTTCAATTGTTACATACTTTTACTAAATGTAAGTTCCAAGATGTAAGTTCGATCATCACCTTTTTTTACTTATCTGTTCGTTCGTCTATCTATGAAAAGTGAGGTAAAGTAATGCTTGTCATACTTGTCATGATGGTCGAACTATCCCATTGGGCTGGATGTCACGGACGAGGGGTCAGACCACTTTACAGTACATATCTCATACCATTGTCAATTAAAAAAAACATGAGCTCCCCCGGGATTCGAACCCAGAACCGTTACCGTGGTTATGCATTGAATAATGACAGCAATCCGATAAATATAACGATGTCTTATCAAACTATTGTTGAATTATCAGTCATTTTCACCCTTAAGGGTATGGGTCATCTACGTTTCACAGTTTCTTTGAAATTTACCCGATGGAATATTTTTCCGCTCATTCGCTGTAAATATATAACAGGTTTTTACAAGCTTTTTGGAAAAAGATCACGACTAACGTATTTAATTCAGAAATCCATATATGTATTTAGTAGTCATAATTGGCCGTTTAAATAATTTTGTTTTTAATCGAAGTTCTTGGTCGAGATAAAAAAGCAAGTGTCACGTCGGGATTCGAACCCTCGACCTTTGGCTAGAAAATATGGCAAAGCGAGGGGAAAGGTTCGTAGTTGTAGGTTGTGGGAGTTGGTGTTTAAGTGGATCGAAGTCACAATAGCTGAAATGGTTATAGCAGCGGTGTATTCAGCCGAAGGTCGTGGGTTCGAATCCCGCTCGTGACACTTGCTTTTCATCTCAACCAAGACCTTAGATTAAAATATAATTAATTCGAATTAATTCAAAAATCTGTGAAACTACTTTCGTTAGAGTTAGAGTGATTGAGAATCAACGGAAACGTGGGGCGTACGTGACCCAAGTCCATTGAGCAAGACGGTTCTTGGAATATTTTATCTTCTCTCTCTCTCTCTTTCGCCCAAAAGTTAATTTAAAAGAAGAAACGAGTCCAAGACCCTTTCCTACATATTAAATAATTGTCTTGTAGTCAATAATTCTACTTTCCTCGTCGCATGGCGCCATTTGATTCTAATTATTTACAATTTCGCCTCGTCTCACTTTTACTTTACAGTTAACTCTTTTTTATTATTGGTTGAGCCTGAATAGGCTTGATTTACATGAATTGAGAAAATTATTTTGGGTTAAATTGAAACGTTGTCATTCATTTTATATCCTAGCTTATAAAAGCTTATTTGTTTTTCTGTATTATTTATACAGCTTTTGTGGATAACAAAAGTTGTAAGATAAAGTGGATTGCCATTTTTTCATTTAACCTTGTACAACATTAATGAAGATTTCTTTGTCATTGAATAATTCCTGAATGAAAAGGTTTTTTTTTGCCTTGTGCAACCGCACATCAGCCATGCCGTCAATTCGGGGAATGAAAAGTTTGAAATGAATATAAAAGTTATGCTAATTGACAAATTTCTACTGTTCAAAAAAAAACACAAAACTAATAAAATGTACAAGAATTAAATGAATTTAGTTATAAATTTCTTAATCCTCCAGATGGGATACCTTGCAGAGGGGAAACATTGTACACACTAAAATTGTGACTTTTAATTATATGAAAACTCCCTCCCCCCACAAAAAAGTTCATGACTTTTATTGTTGTGCATTTTGAATTTGTTCAACTTTTAACCCATTTGGACCAAATGACTGTAATGAATACACTTGACAGAATGAAACTTTTAAAAAAAATTTAAATTTTGAACAATTAGGCAATTTTTCAAATGCATCAAATGTGGACGAGGTGGCTAAGGTCGGGGCTCTCAACATCCAAACCTAACTACCGTGATCCAACCTCATATACCAAAAATTTAATAAAAATATGGTTAAATGAAGGTGGTCGCATCAGTTGACCGGGTAGGCAGAGGAGCTCTCTCGGGTCAAAAGCACTGTGACCCTCAGAGGATCTGAATCATAGAAGGGTCATGTCCGCCCAATTAAGGATAGGCCATGCGACGCTAGGGGGCCAAAACCTGCATGTGTCCGGCATGTAGAGAAAGGTTGCTTGATGTTTCCCACCTAATTGTAGGGTGCAACTCCTTGGCTCTATGTAGAGAATGTGTAGGATTTCCACCTCATATGAGAATCAGGCTGAGCAAGGCAGTGAGTATCTGGGTCCCCAATTTGAATTTTTTTTGGAAGAAACAGAGTTGTTCTACTGTATGTAGTACTGATAGTTTTGTGTCCCTGGCGTGTGTTGAGAGTGACACTATTTATTGGTGTGAATATGAAGCATGAGAGGTAGATAGTGGAATATTGAGTACTCTATAAACCCTCAATTATGTTAGTTATACAATATTTGTAGAAGGTGATGGAAGTCTATGCTTGCCAACACCCAAGGAGGGTAATTCTCGAGACCGTCCGTGAATTTATTGCATATTACAAAAACAGGAATTGCCAGTGGACAGCGAGAAGTGATAGGCTCAACTCTTTACATGAGTGTATATATGTACATACATGTACAGGTTTGAGCTTATAGAAATCCAACCATTGTTGCCCTCTATGAATATATTAAATATGTTTATGTATGTGTGTACACTCATCATCAAGTTAAAGGATTTACAACCATTGTACGAGTCAAGTACCCTTACAGTCATGTCGAAAGATATGGTTATAAATCTTTCAACCTGATTAAGCTTTAAGCTTGAAATCCGGAGATGGTTGAAAACAACAATCTGTGTATAAGAACGATCTTTTAAAATGATTAAACAACATTAATAGCTTAATTCCTCCTTTATTTTTTATTTTTTAAATAGTCTGAATTAATCAATTTCCTTGCAGGTCTAAATGACCGTAGAACTGTGGGAGGGTCCTGCTAAGGATGGGCTCTATGATCCAGCCTTTGAAAAAGACGCTTGCGGCGTTGGATTTATTGTTGCGATAGACGGCTGTCAATCTCACAAGGTATGTTTATTTAATTATTTATTTTTAATTAATTGCTAGACCAAAATTTAAAAAAATAGTCTAGTGAAAAATAATTTTTCTACGCCATTTCTTTTAACACCTGAATGCACAAAGGTCTACATTGTAATTTATCTTTATTATTATTATTTTATTTTTTCCATCTAATACTTTTTATCAGATTACAAAATTTGACTCAATAAACCATTTTTGTTTGTGTATAATTAGACAGAGACAGAGAACACTCCAGGAATTGATATGGCTATAAGGGGGGGGGGATTGATTTCCAATCTAATTGTTCAATTTATTTATTTTTAATGATCTTTTGACAAGACTTAATTGTTGAACTGTTTTTAATGCTATTATTAGTTTTAATTATCACTGATTGTAAATGATAACTACTTGAAAATTGCGTTATTACACTTACACAATTTGTTTCCATGATAGTTCCTTTTTAAAGAGTTTTTACTGAGTTTCCAACAACGCAATTTTAAAACCCTAAAAATAGAAAATTTCATTGTAATATATTTCAGATTGTACGCGATGCCGAGAAGCTTGCTAAGCGGATGAATCACAGAGGCGCTTGTGCATGCGACAATGACACAGGCGACGGTGCAGGAGTTCTCACTGCAATACCGCATTCCTATTATGCAACCGAAATCAAGTAATTCTCATCTTAACACCTTATCAAACATTTAACAATAGTCAATAAATCATAAATTGAACAGGGAAAGCGAGAATATTGAGCTGCCTCCTCAGGGTGAATACGCTACTGGGATTTTTTACATGGATAAAGTCCATCATGTTGAAAGTGAAGCAATGTTCCACCAGTTGGCCGAAAAATACCAGTTGAAGGTTTTTAATGTTTTCTTATTTTGTTCATTCTTATCTTTCAATTTTCATTCATCCTGTAAGAGATAATATTCTGTACGTTCTGTTTTTTGATATTTCAATATTTTTCTAGTATTATTATTTTTTTAAATAAATATGTAATTATTTTTTTAATACATAAAACCATCTTTTATAGATAATATGTTGGAGAACGGTTCCTGTATGCAATGCCGGTATAGGAGAAGTAGCTAGGAACAGCGAGCCCTTTATGAGGCAGGTGTTCCTTACTGGAAACAACCTTAATGGAGAAAATTTTAAACGTCAGGTACAATAAACCTGTTAAAATGACAAAAAAAAATTATAATAGAATGTTTGAATTTTAGGTATGGATGTTAAGGAAAAGAGCAACACATGTAATACCAAAGCCAGGAGTGAGATTTTACATTTGCTCACTGTCAGATACGATCATTGTTTATAAAGGACAGTTTACTTCCGATCAACTCTGGGAGTATTTTGCCGATCTTAAGGTAATAAAAACAGCAAAAATTAATGACTTTTAAAATTATTTTATTTTATTTTTTGCAGTCTCCACATTTTCAGACATACCTCACACTTGTACACACTCGATTTTCGACCAATACATATCCAAGTTGGGAACGTGCACACCCATTGAGGTAAATAATTGAATAATATTTTCCTTATATTTTAATTGTTGTGCATGATTTATTAGATGCCTGGCCCATAACGGGGAAATAAATACTTTGCGAGGAAATGTCAACCTCATGAAGGCAAGGGAAGGTGTTATGAAAAGCCCTTACATCGAAAATCTTAAAGAACTATACCCTGTAGTCGAACCCAACTTATCCGATTCTGGCAGTCTCGATTGCGTGCTCGAGTTTTTGGTCAACGCTGGAGGAAGACCCCTTCCTGAAGTGTGTATATACATTTTTTTTTTTTCAACTATTTCATTCGACGTTTAACTTATTTCAAATTTGAAGGCGGTGATGACAATGGTACCGGAAGCCTGGCACAATGATAAAACAATGCAACACGATAAACGAGATTTTTACCAGTGGTCCTCTTGTGTAATGGAGCCTTGGGACGGTCCTGCCCTACTGGCCTTCACCGATGGACGATACATCGGGGCTATTTTAGACAGGTGAAATGATGGTTTACTCAACAAAAACCTGAATAGCAATTATATTTAAAGGATTTCAGAAATGGCCTACGACCCTCAAGGTATTATGTAACAGAAGACAACATTATGATCATGGCGTCTGAGGTTGGAGTCTACGATACTGATCCTGCAAATATCAAACTCAAGGTAATTTTTTATAAACACATTAATTTATAGAAACGATAAAGATGGTCTTAAAAAGATCAAACTAATTTATGCAAAATGAAACTTCCCTTAAAGGACACCTTCCTTGAACGGACAAATTCTGATTCCCCATCTTCCCATTATTTTCTTTACATTAAAATCAGACATGCCCATGACATAGAGGCAGCTTTTTGACCATATTTTGACTCTAACACTCTTCCAAAAGTATTTAAATGTGTTTGTCACTTAAAGAATAAATTAATATAATTAAAGTGAGTGAAAGTGCTATGAAAAAAACTATGTGTGTGAGACTTGGCTGTGAACTTTTCATTTTTGGAGATCCAGGCAAGTAAAATTCTAAATTATAAAAAGTAGAACTTTTAGATAAATTTTACAAACACAGAAATGACCAATCGCGCAGAATTTTTCCTAAAATGTCTGGTACGGCAATAGACTAAGACATATTTGAATGGTTTTGCCATGCTCAGGCTTGTGAAATACCAACCTCTAGTGATAAAAAAAGGCTAAAAATCCTCATTGTTTCAAAGGTGTCAATATCTTGTAGTCTCCATTGTGTCCCATCTTGAATACTAAACATTTTTTTACTCTTATTCCAATAGTAGATAATTTCAAATCTCAAGATTGTCCATTATAGGGAAGTTTCACTGTATTGTATTAATTAAACACTTATTATTATTTTTTGTTTTGTTTTTAGAGCCGTTTGAAACCAGGAAGAATGCTTTTGGTCGATACTAAAGAAAAAACTGTTATTCAGGATGTTGAATTGAAAAAGCATATAGCAAACAGCAGAGAGCATAGCAAATGGTTAAAAGAACAGGTACAAACAATATTTCTTTAACGATAATTTCTTAATGAACTTCATAAGCGACTGGGCTTTGCTTGGAAAAATGATTTTAGAAAACCACTTAAAAATATTAATTTTTGTATGAATCTTTTTATTTATTATTGCAACTCAACACAACATTTGTTATGAATTTGAAAATTGATACTTGATGTTAATTTGCCCTTAAGAGTGAGTGAGAAAGTGTGTTTATTTATTTATTTTTTAAATAAAAGATTTTTCTAATATAAGGAATGAAAATTTCATATCATTATTATGTTATGTATTTGCGTACTCATAACATGTGAAGAACATTCAGTTGTATATGGGGGACCGCACTAGTGGTCAGCGTGAAAGACGGCTCATTGATTCCCACCATCTCTTCCGGCCTTTTTTCTACCCTTCCTCCAAGAATACAATTATTTCATAGCATTGATCAAATTCCCTCTCAGGCTAATATTAAAAAATAAATCCATTAAAAAACATTGTTTCTGTATGTGAATGTGTATTTAGTTGTCTGAATGTTTGTGTACTTTTCTCATAAAAGAGAAACCCCCCATAAATGTGTGGGTATTCATTACAATAATTATGAATTTAAATATTTAAAAAGTCAATTACTTAATTTATTCAAATGATATTAACTAGAGTACTGTAGCCACGTAGTTTTGTCTGGTATTTACCGTGACCTTAATTAATAAAATGTACATGTAATGTTGATTTTTTTATGGTACTCTGACATCAAACTAATTCAATTTATTTGTCTTCCCCTTATTTATGTGTTCTCCGTTGGTCCATCGACGATTTGGTAAATGTCGCTTAGACGGTGAGTTTTAAGTACTTTGAAAAATCTATGCACTTGTAGTTGCTTCTTATCTTGCACATTAAGATTTATTTTTTCTTCTATTTCTTCTTCGCATATTAATAATTTTATTGTATATACCTTTTTGTAGCTGGTATTTTCTTTCTTTTTTTAATAACTGTTTTATTTTCTAATTTATGCATGTATGCTTTATTGTGTTATATTTTTTTATACTGTGAACACTTCTAATTTTTTTAAAAGTATAACACATCTGTTTTCTTTGTGATTATTTCTATTTATTTTATTTATTTATTTATTTATTTTTTTTTTTTAATCTGAAGTCCTGTAAATATCATTTTTTTTAATCCACAAATTATACATTTATAGATAACCATGGCTGAATTGCGTGAAAAGGCCAATCTTGAGAACTTCAACGCTACTGAAGGATTCTGTTTGAGTGGTGAAATTTCTCCTGAATGTATTTCTGACATACCGAAAGAAGACGTCAGCAGGATCTGGGGTGGTGATAGACGTCTTTCCCTCTTTGGTTACACTATTGAAACAATAAACATGCTTATCCTCCCAATGATGAAATCTAAGTAATTTAAGTTCAATTTATTTAATTTAAATATTTTTTTATTTTTTAAATATTTTTTTAAAGGAAAGAACCTCTTGGTTCAATGGGCAATGATGCACCATTGGCTTGTTTATCGCAATTCCAACCCCTTCTGTATGATTATTTCAAGCAGCTTTTCGCCCAGGTAATTGACAGATGTTGTTGAAGTTTAATCAATTTTAAATCTCAATTAAATTTTTCCCTTAGGTGACCAACCCGCCTATTGATCCGTTTCGTGAAAAAGTCGTAATGTCGCTGCTTTGCCCGATCGGCCCTGAGGCCAATATTCTTATACCGAGTGCTATTCAGTGCCATCGACTTTTCCTCCCACACCCAATAATCTCTCTCCCAGACTTGGAAATACTGAAGAGAAACACACACAGGGGTTGGAAGGTATTTGCTCGAAGCCAAAACTGCGATTCTAACAAAAAAAAATGTTAACTTTTGTAATTTTAGACTATCGTCATTGATATAACATTCAGTAAAGACTGTGGCCCAGCCGGAGTACAAAAAACATTAGATAGAGTATGCGAAGAAGCCCAAAAGGCAGCTGAAGAAGGTTTTCAACTCATTGTTTTGTCAGATCGCAAAGCCGGAGCTGAAAGGTAATTTTTAATTAATTTTATTATCTTTTCTTATTATTTATTGTACAAAATAAAAACCCTTGTTTTGTCTTGTGTCAGAGTTCCGATAAGCATGCTGCTTGCCCTTGGTGCAACTCATCACCATCTCATTGAAACGAGGCAGCGTATGAAGGTCGGTTTAATACTTGAGTCCGGTGAAGCAAGGTGGGATATTATTTGAGGATAATGAAATTTTTTAAAAATTATTGCAATAAATAATTATCTTAGGGAAGTACACCATATGTGTGTTTTATTGGGTTATGGTGCCGATGGAATTTGCCCATATATGGTTTTTGAAATGGTCAGAAGTCTTCGAGCCGAAGGTCTTATTGATTCTTCATTCACCGATCAAGTTTTGTACATGGTAATGACATAATTTGGCACCCAATTTCACAAAATTAATTAATTTTTTTTTTTAAAGAATTATTCAGAAGCAATGGAGAGAGGAATTTCAAAAGTAATGGCGAAAATGGGAATTTCAACGTTACAGTCTTACAAAGGGGCGCAGATATTCGAGGCAGTGGGACTTGCTGAAGAAGTCATTGAGAAATGCTTCAAAGTAATGACTTTTTTTAAAGAACTCTTTAATTAATAATATTTATATTTAATTGTGTAAATTATTTTAGGGTACATCTTCAAGAATAGGCGGGGTCACGTTTGAAATCCTTGCGGATGAGATTTTTGAAAGGCATTATCTAGCTTATACAGACAAGGATAATCTCGTTTTAAGAAACCCCGGCATATATCACTGGAGGAGCGGCGGTGAAAAGCACATCAACGAACCTTTGAGCATTGCAAATCTGCAGGTATTTTAATTTAAAACCGCTTTTTCGGTTGAGGATAGGTTTTTAAAATTAAATTTTTAAAGGAAGCAGCGGTCAACAAGAGTCAAAACAGCTACGAGAAGTTTAAAGAGTCTACTTTAGAGAGCATAAGGGACTGCACTTTACGAGGGCAGCTAGAGATAGTACAAAGCGACAAGCCTGTTGACATCTCTGAAGTCGAACCAGCATCTGAAATTGTCAAAAGATTTGCAACTGGTAAAACTACTAACTTCTATTTCATTTGAATAAATTTGTTAAACTATTAACATTAACCAGGCCATTGGACGCCACTTTTTGGTGTTTATATGGCGAGTCTTATAACTGTTTTGGATGTCACATCAGGCCCAGCCCACATGGCGGGAAGGTTTTTTACTGCTGAACGGCCTCTGTACAGAGTGTTATACCAAGAATTAAACTAAGAGTTTATCAGTTTAAGACTAAGAGATTTATATATTAATTTGGGTCAAACCAAAGTCAGAATACTTTTATCATATAATTTTCTATTAAAAAGCTGTGCCAGCATTAAAACCCAAAAGTGCTAGCATGGCAAATATGAGTCAGATACCCTAACTACTCAGCCACTGCAGTCCCCTTATTACCCAGAAAAGTTCTTCCAAGTTTAAGGCTTGAATAATTCTCAAAATTAAAATTAGTTACAAGGCTTTGAAACAATAGAGGTCGTATCAAAGGGGGCATTGGTGGCTGCAATGGTTTAGGCGTTGACACAGTGCTTATCACTGAAAGGTAAAGGTTCCAAGTTCAAATCCAACAGCCCTCCATTTGAACCCGGCATACTTACAAATGGGCTTTTTTTCAAAAACACCAGCACCTCGAGGTTGATATTACCTCTGCTGTTGCAAACCCTTGTTTAAAAAAATATGGTCATATAACCCCTTGGAGTGTTACAATATACAAAAGTCTATTTGTAAGTATGTGAGGTTGGAATGCAGAGCCCTACTGGATTTGAACCAAGAACCTTTTCCTTACAGTAATGAGCACTCTGTCAACACCTTAAGTTGTGGCCATCATTACAATAATTAAAATGAGCTTAGAAATATTTTATTCAGGGAATCAACCTCCATCAGCATCTATATTTTTCTCCCAACAAGTTACTTACCCAGTTATACCCTTATTTTAAATGTTTGGCTCGTGTGTCTTAAAAAATAAATTGTTTCCGTTGCTAAGGAAAGGTGAAAGTCAGGTGGTGCCAGGTTTGGAGTGTGCAGAGAGTGTGGTAGATCTTACCATCAAACTTCTTATCATCTCTTATTCTGGCTGTATGAGGTCTCACGTTGTCCTGGTGATGAATTACACATTTTTTCAGTTCAAGAGAGCCGCGTTTCTAGGCCAGTGCAAGATATACTTGTTTCAGCTGGATTGAGTAGATTTGTGCGGTAATGCCCATTTATGTGGCAGGAATTCATAGAGCACAATATACTACACCAAACTCAACTTTTGTTGTAGACATTTTTATTTTTTGTGTCAATGGGACAGGGTCATTCTATTTTGTGCCTTGAAAGAAATGAGAGTTTTAAAGCCGAAGCGTCAATTTATGAGGAATCCATTTGCTCACTTCTTTCCAAATTGATGAAAGCTAAAGTGAATGCTTCTATCGCTTACGTTGAACACTCATGGTGAGCTCCTTAGCTCGGCTAGCTATAGCTATAGCTTCTCTCACTTCATCATCATTCCAGGCAGAAGGTCCACCAAACCGTGGTTCATCTTCAATCTTATCATGTGCTCATTTATATTGTTTCATCACCAAACATAGTGCAAATTTTATGAGTTCCCTTGGACACCATAGTGCCTAGCTTAAATTCATACAAAAGTTAGTACGAATTATGGATTTTAAAGTTATGAGAAAGAAAATATTTTATAACAGTGAAATGTTCAAGGCGTTTTTTTCTTAATGAACTGATGCATTATGTAAATATCTAATCCTCTTAATAATAATAAATGAAAAACCACGACCTTTTCTGGTTGTCTGGTAATTATATGTAGTAAACTTAAATAGTTTATGTATATATACATGTATTTTAGGTGCTATGAGTTTCGGCAGCATATCTTTAGAAGCACATACTACACTTGCCATTGCCATGAACAGAGTTGGTGGTAAATCAAATACAGGAGAAGGAGGTAAAAACATCAACTATTTTTTATCAATGATAGTAGATCATTATTTTCCAATATATCTTGAAAATTTAATTAGGGGAAAATGCTGACCGTTACTTAGACCAGGAACCTGAGTTTAATAAAAGGTCTTCTATTAAACAAGTAGCATCGGGGAGATTCGGCGTTACAAGCTCTTATTTGGCACATGCGGATGACCTGCAGATTAAGATGGCTCAGGGTGCTAAGCCAGGTGAAGGTGGTGAGCTTCCTGGCTATAAGGTATAACATTTCATCATTTCAATTATATTGACAAGATTACGTTTAATTTTGATTTTTCAGGTTACAAAAGATATTGCAAAAACAAGACACTCAGTCCCCGGTGTCGGTTTAATATCACCGCCACCACACCACGACATTTATTCCATCGAAGACTTGGCTGAATTGATTTACGATTTAAAATGTGCAAATCCAAACGCGAGGATATCTGTCAAGCTTGTTTCCGAAGTCGGTGTCGGTGTTGTGGCGTCTGGCGTAGCAAAGGTAGAATTTTAATTAACCCCAGCTTATAAAAATGTTCAATTTTATGCTCGTTATTAGGGTAAGGCTGAACACATTGTGATATCAGGGCATGATGGTGGCACTGGCGCTAGCTCTTGGACCGGAATCAAAAATGCAGGACTTCCTTGGGAACTCGGTGTTGCTGAAACACACCAAGTTTTGGTATTGAACAACCTTCGATCAAGGATTGTTTTGCAAGCCGATGGACAAATCCGTACTGGTAAATAAAATATTAAGCCTTGTTGTAATATTCATTAAAATTGTTTTAAATTAAGGGTTTGATGTTGTTGTCGCTGCACTCTTGGGAGCTGATGAGTTTGGTTTTAGTACAGCACCTCTCATTGTCATGGGATGCACCATGATGAGAAAATGTCATTTAAATACTTGCCCTGTAGGGATCGCAACACAAGATCCCGTTTTAAGAAAGAAATTTACAGGAAAACCTGAACATGTTATCAACTACTTATTCATGATCGCTGAAGATGTATGTTTTCAGTTTTAATACCCGTGTTTTATTTGTCTTTAATACTATTTTTTACAGGTCAGGCAGTACATGGCGTCATTAGGAATTCGTAAGTTCCAAGACCTCATTGGAAGGACCGACTTGCTTAAAGTTTATGAAGCAACTAAGAATCCAAAAGCAAAATTGTTATCTATGAATTTAATACTTAAAAACGCCTTGCATATGAGGCCAGGTGTGAATATTGTGGGCGGTTCTGTTGCTCAGGTACAAATAAAACGTGTATGCTTTCTTTTTTGGAAACTTTTGTATAAAAACTTAATTCTCTTTTATAGGATTTTCAATTGGAAAAAAGACTCGACAAACAATTAATTGATTTGTGCATGCCTGTGATAAATAAACAAATGAACTGCATAGATTTAAATATGACAATAAACAATGAATGCCGTGCTTTTGCCTCAACCCTCGCTTATCACATCTCCATGTAAATCAAACAATTTTTCACGTTATTTATATATTTATGTTAATTATATTGAATTTTCAAAAAAAGGAAATACGGTGATGAAGGACTTCCAGAAAAGAGTATAAACATCCATTTGACAGGATCAGCTGGTCAGAGTTTCTGTGCTTTTATGCCCAAAGGGGTACATGTGACATTAGAAGGAGACTCTAATGATTATGTTGGAAAGGTAAAATTTAAAAAAAATTAAAATCAGATTTTTTTCCGGAGGATCTCCGAAAAAACTTTATGTTTCCAGCAGGTCGATAATCTAGCTCATCGTCAGATTTTTTTTTTTTTTAATGGATTTCTTCTAGGGACTTTGTGGAGGAGAGGTGGTCATCTATCCTCCTAAGACATCAAAGTTTGACTCCGTTCAAAATGTAATCGTCGGAAACGTATGCCTATATGGTGCAACCTCCGGGAAAGCGTTTTTCAGAGGGATTGCTGCAGAACGTTTCTCAGTCAGGAATTCTGGCGTAGTCACAGTCGTCGAAGGCGTAGGCGATCATGGTTGTGAATACATGACTGGCGGCTGTGCATTGATATTGGGTCTAACAGGACGCAACTTTGCTGCTGGTATGTCTGGTGGGATTGCGTATGTTTTAGACGTTGATAGGTCATTCCATAGGTAAGTTTTATTAAATAATACTGTTTTGTTTTTTTCTATAATTTGACTTATTTTATTTTTGTTGAAGCAAATGCAACATAGAAATGGTTGAACTTTTACCGTTGGACCAACAAGAAGATATCGATTATGTTTATAACCTGCTTGTAGAATTTGAAAGCAAAACAGGATCAATAATAGCCGATGATTTAATCAAAGCTTGGCCCACTCCTGCCAAAGATTTTGTTAAAGTATGTAAACAAGGAATATATTTATAATAGTGGCTTTAATTTATTTAACAATATTTTCAAGGTGTTTCCCTATGAGTACCAAAGAGCTCTTCGTCAACTAGCAGAAGAGAAAATAAGCAATATGAAAATGGAAGGAGATACGTTGAATTATATTAATAATCAGCCAGTAAGGGATATAGAAGATATAATTTCTGATACTGGCACTGAAAAGAAACGTGTTGAAAAGACATTAGATAAACTCAGGTATGCAAATTTTTTTAAACCGTTATTTTGTAAAATTGTATATGGTTAATTTTTCCAGGGGATTTATCAAGTATACAAGGGAAACAGGGATGTACAGGCCGGCTGAAAAAAGGCTCAAAGATTGGGACGAAATTTACAATGTGGATCACGTCAGGAAAGGATTGAGAGTTCAAGCAGCGAGGTGTATGGATTGCGGTGTCCCTTTCTGTCAGAGCTCACACGGATGTCCTTTGGGAAATATAATTCCTAAATGGAACGATTTAATATACTTGAATAATTGGAATGAAGCGTTGAACCAACTACTTCAGACTAATAACTTTCCAGGTGAAGAAAAAAAATCTTGATAGTTTTTTTAAATTATTATATGTAATATTTAGTGAACGTTAAGTGATTAATGATAAATTTTTTAAAGAATTTACTGGTAGAGTGTGCCCTGCGCCATGTGAAGGTGCTTGCGTACTAGGAATAAACGAACCACCCGTTACAATTAAAAATATTGAATGTGCCATTATCGACCACGCTTTCGAACAAAAGTGGATCAAACCCGAAATCCCAACACATAGGACTGGTAAGAAAGTTGCCATCGTCGGATCAGGACCGGCTGGACTTGCCACCGCACATCAGATGAACAAGGTATGCCTGAAAATTGTGCTCCTATATAAATCTTTAAAAAAACTTTCTTACTTTTTTTACAGTCAGGACATACGGTCACTGTTTTCGAACGCAACAACAGGATTGGCGGTCTATTGCAATATGGAATCCCGACAATGAAATTGTCCAAAGATGTTGTTCAGAGACGAGTGAAACTTCTTAGCGATGAAGGAATTCAATTTAAAACAAACGTTAATGTTGGAAAAGATATTTCTGCAAAGGTATTTTTTTAAACTTGATTTCAAGACTTAAGACTGCCTTTATAGATTTTTTTGTTTATTTTTCTATGGCAAAGATAAAGCATAATTATTGCAAACGAATTAGGGTGAATTTAGGGCGGGCTAGGACACACATAGCAGTTATCATGTCAGTTTTACCATTCCACCAAATGTAGCTGACCAGTCCTGTTCGTTTCTTTTTTGAATATTAATTATAGTGCATTTTAATGTATTGTTGTTTATTAGTGCAACAGATGAAGAACAAATACTTCTGTTCCTGTCGTATTACCAATGGAAAAATTAAGGAATCATCAAAATCAAAAACAAAAAAAGTGAAAACAGATGGTTCACACATAGAAGCAAGACAGATGTGTTGGCATGGGTGATGGAATACTACCCAACCATTCCACAAAATATGTCTTCAAAACCAACTTTGGTGGTCGTCTCTTTGACTCACTGACTTTGTTTCAAAACCATCAGGCAATACGCGTCACACCAACTGTCATGTTCCACTCTCAATACAAAAAATTGATCCACTAACCAGGTTTTCCTCTCAGTAAACACTTTGTAAAACCACTAGGTGTGTCATAGGCCATATTCCGAGATACTAAGATGAATTTTTTAATTGCAAAAGGTTTTGAAGTTATTACGAGATCCCAAAGCTTTTTCATTGACTTCCGTCTGTATCCTTCAGGCCCGGGCTTTTCCTCTCTCAGGAGTATGGATCTTACCCTCCTTGAGCATTTGCACCAATAGAGGACATGTTCTGCTGTTTCTTCTTCTTTTTGGCAATATCTGCACAGGCTTGTTTGCCATGCTTTCATATTCTGAGGTGTCAAGTTAGCAGTCAACTAGAATAATAGTATGAGTCTTAACACAGACTAGTAGTAAATATGAGTCTTAACACAGACTAGTAGTAAATATGAGTCTTAACACAGACTAGTAGTAAATACGAGTCTTAACACACCCTAGCTTATTAGTCGTTATTTTCTGCTATGGTCTTTTGATGAACTTTTTGCATGCCTTTTTCTGTGCTACATTCCCATTGTATGGAGGACTTATTTTTAATCCATTGTCTCTGACAGATCCTACGTTTCTGGCAGTTTGGTGTGTCACAAAAAGGTTCAAGTATTGGTGTGTACCAACTTTCCTTGGCCAATTAATTATCTGCCTTTTGCCCATGGTACCCAGGGAGAATTTTGTTTTCCCCAATGTCTGAAAGAGCTGGAATGCTAAATGACTGTACTTTACCACTGATGCGGCAATTGCCCTCAATTTTAAATCTACCTATAATTATACTTATAATAGTGTGAAGAGACATAGCAAATGTGAATAGGATGATCAGAGATGGGCAAACTACAAGATTTACAATTGTAAATTTTTTAATATAACAGATTGATGTAATAGTACAGTTTTCAGGAACTTTGTGAAGAATACGATGCCGTGATTTTATGCACTGGCGCTACATGGCCGAGGGACCTGCCGATTCCAGGCAGGCAGTTGAATGGTATCAATTACGCCATGTCATTTTTGGAATCTTGGCAGAAAAAGCAAATGGGCAACAATGTATTGCCGCTTTTGGCGAAGGACAAAGATGTGGTTATTATTGGAGGTGGTGATACAGGCTGTGATTGTATTGCTACTTCGCTTAGACAGGTCGGGCTAATTTGGCCGACAAATTAAACAGTATTTTTTACGTACAATATCAATTTCAGGGTGCTAATAGTATCACTACTTTTGAAATTCTACCCGAACCACCAGAATTCAGGTCCAAAGACAACCCATGGCCCCAATTTCCCAGGGTTTTCAAAGTCGATTATGGTCACGAAGAGGTGAAAGTCAAGTTCGGCAAAGACCCGAGGCAGTATTCAGTTCTCAGCAAGGAATTCATCGATGACGGCAATGGTAATGTCGCCGGTATAAGAACAGTAAAGGTCAGTTGGAGTAAGGATGAAACTGGGAGATGGAAGATGGACGAAGAGCCTAACTCAGAAAAGGTAAAGTTTTCAAATTAAAAAAAAAAAAAAAAATTATATATATATATATATATACATACATACATACAGGGTGTCCCAGTTCCTTCTAAATAAAATAATAAAATTTTAAGGTATATAGCTGTCAACTTGTTTTGTTGGCTATGGGATTTTTGGGACCTGAAAAGTACATAGCAAATGAACTGGATTTAAATTTAGATCCAAGATCTAATTATGAAACACCAAAAGGAAAGTACGCAACATCTGTCCCAAAGGTGTTCGCTGCTGGAGGTTGTATTCCTTTTGTATTAATTGGTTTTATAAATTTTTCAATTTGATATAAAAACCAAGTTTAATTTCAGATTGCCGCCGTGGGCAATCTTTGGTTGTTTGGGCCATTTCTGAGGGTCGTCAAGCAGCTCGAGAAGTGGACGCTTATCTTCTAGGAAAGACTACACTTCCAGGCCAAGGTGGTGTCATCACTAAGTTAACTAGTCAGCGCGGCTGAGGTAATGTCTGAAGAGAATGTTTTAATTGGGTTTTTCCTTATTCTTTTGGAAATTGTAAATAAATCTTTTCTTTATTTAACTCTCTTTTCAGATGTAGAAGTTAAATTATATATATACGTAATTATTTTATCTAATGAAATGGTAATATTTTTGTAGTCCATTTATATAAGCTATTTAACTATTTCTTAATTGATTGTTTTATTTTTTATAAATTGTGTTTTAATATTTTATTTTATTTTTTGCCCTTGTTATACATTTTTCTTATTACATACACTTTAATATATATGTTATTTTCAAAATCAGCCATAATGGTCATTTTAATTTTTTTTTTTTTAAGGATGTTTAAAAACGTGCTAGTAATTTTATTAAATTTTATTTTTATAAGCTAGTTCATGTATACGTTAAAAAAGCAAATGATTTGTTTTAAATTAATATTGTTAACCATTGTATTTGTGCTTATTCAATAAACCAGTTTTATATTTACATCTTAATAAAATTGAATAGGAACTGACTTTGTTGTAATTTTTTCCTTTAGACACTTCCTTTAGGTATTTTTTTATATCATGAAAATTTTAAATAAAGACATACTGATATGGGGAACTGGCACATGACATACTAGTGGGATTATCTCATATTGAAGATATTCGCTTCATGAAGTTACTAATAGGAGTATCTATTTTGGAGGCATTCGCTTCATGAGGTTACTAGTAGGAGTATCTATATTGGAGACATTCACTTCATGAGGTTACTAGCAGAAGTATTTATATTAGAAGCATTCGCTTCATGAGGTTACTAGTAGGAGTATCTATATTGAGACATTTGCTTTCATGAGGTTACTAGTAGGAGTATGACATTCGCTTCATGAGGTTACTAGTAGGAGTATCACATATGGAAGACATTTACTTTATGAGGTTAATGGTGGAAGTATCTATATTAGAGACATTCGCTTGATGAGATTACAAGCAGAAGTATCATATGGGAGACATTCTCTTGATAAGATGACAAGCAGAAGTATCGATATTGAAGACATTCGCTTCAGGAGGTTACTAGCAGAAGTATTTATATTGGAGACATGTGCATCATAGGTTACTAGTAGTAGTATCATATATGGAAGACATTTACTTTATAGGTTACTAGGGGGAGTATTGCTTATGGGAGACATCGTTTCATGAGGTTACTGGTGGAAGTATCCATATTAGAGACATTCTCTTCATGAGATTACAAGCAGAAGTATCATATATGGAAGACATTCGCTTCATGAGGTTACTAGCAGAAGAATCATATATGGGAGATACGTCATGAGATTACTAGTGTAATGTGTTATTTACCTCGTAAAGTTACTAGTAGAATTTTGTCCTAAGAAAAACTAGCGTACAAGATGTTGAGTGTGGCAGCGTTCTTGCTGTGGAACTCCATAATGGTGTTTTTTATAAATAAATATAAGCCTTTAGTTCCAGCAGGTTCATTTACATGGGAAAGTTTTACCTACACCGTTCACACTAACGGAACAACTTAACACACAGTTTAAATAGCACTTTATAAAAATGTAAAAAAAAAAGAAACTAAAAATGGCTCAACATCCTTGGACAAAGAAAACAGAAATGTATAAAACCTACAATACAACTACAATTAAATGTAGTTTACCGGCAAAAGTTATTCATAAGATCATAATTATATTGGCTTCTGGCACAAAAATCAAATATTAATAATAACATGCTCACTAACCTGACTGCCAGCAGAGAGAGTTGATTTACCATTTGTAAATCCCTCCTGGTAAAAGGAAAAATTACATAAAAATTTGAGAATACAAGACGAACTGTTTATAAAAAATATATGTTAAATTATGTTTACCCTCTGAAGGCAAAAATCCTCGTCTTAGAACAGCTTCGATGAACCAGCTAACTACACACTGTTGTACACTCGCGGAACAACTTAACGCACTGTTTAAAGCACTTTATAAAAATGTAAAAAAAAAAATAGTACAAATGGCTCATCATCCTTGGAAAAAGAAAACAGAAATGTATAAAGCCTACAATAAATTAAATGTAGTTTACCGGCAAAAGTTATTCATAAGATCATAATGATATTAGCTTCTGGCACAAAAATCAAATATTAATAATAACATGCTCACTAACCTGACTGCCAGCAGAGAGAGTTGATTTACCATTTGTAAATCCCTCCTGGGAAAAAAAATCAGTTAAAATCAAAGAATGGAAGATAAGGTACATATAAAAAATAGATGTCATATAAATAAAATTTACCCTCTGAAGGCAAAAATCCTCGCCTTAAAACTGTTTCATTGAACCAGCTAACTACAGATGTTCCTCACTCGTGGAACAATTTAATGCACTGTTTAAATAGCACTTTTTGAAAATATAGCAAGAAATACAAAACGGCACACCACCACCTAGAAAAGAAGACCACATAAATATATAAAACCTGTAATAAAAGAAATATAGTTTACAGCGACAAATTTTTTATCAGATTACAGAAAAAATTGTATTAAATGTAACAGTCACTTACAAAAAGGGAAGAATATGATTTATTGAACACATCCTAAACAGAATCTCCATATAAATAATTTTAATAAATCTTATGTAATTTTTGTTTTTACCATCAATGGCAATTTATTTTTTATTAACCAATAACCAATAAAATAATAAGCCCTTCTTTTAGAAATAAATGCGAAAAACCGAAAGAACGTTCATTGTCTTTTTGGATATAAAACCACCTGCTGGGTTGATAGGACGAAAGATTAAGCTCTTAAAGCTCTTAGTTTTGAAAATAACGGGAATAATGTAGAAAAAAAAGGAAACCATTTTTCTGTTTCTTTTTCGATGTAAAACGACCTGCAGGGTTGGTAAAAGGAAGAAGTACGGAGTACTGTCATTGTTGCTGTGGAACATCATCACAACACCATCAGTGTTGGTCATAACCCCCCTCAAAAAATTGAGGAACTGAGGGCCTTTTAAATTATTTTCATAGAAATAAGATTCAATTAATTTATTTTCGAGAAGTCCACATCGCTAACCATCCCTAACCATAAGCTACTGTGATGACAAGATACGAAATTCTCAGATTTTCCTCTACCACCTTCGAAAAATTCCATTTGTTTAGTATGCCATTGTAGATGAAGTCGGAAACATGTGTCCACAAATATGGAAGAATTTTTTCTTCAGTCTCACAAATCGACATTTGTGCAAGGAACGTTAGATCCCCGTCATAATCAAGAGTCCCGAAGTACCTGTATGAGATACGATACGATCCTGCTTAAAATTGTAAGTCTTACCCTTTTCTTACATCTAACCCTTCCAACATTTTGGAGAGAGGATGTGAGATTTTCGAGAACATACAGTAATCTGTAAAATATTCACCCCCTCGTGGAAATTATATTGCCGGTTTCTTTTTGCCATAATTGTATCATTTTTTGACCAATTTAAAATTAAATTGCACCATTGTTTTCAGTGTAAAAATATCCTTTAAAATGATGTGTCAGGATGTATAGGGTCATATTTGAAATTTTAAAGTTGAAGTTTGCCTGAGGTACCCTGGGTAATCTTCTCCAAAAAGGTAAAATTTGAAATTAGACTAAAAAATATTAAACACTTTTTTTTATATATATAGCATCCTGTATATATTCTGCATCGGGTAATAAAATCCTGGAGAATTCCAGCGTATCATGGGTCAGAATATATCGGTCAATGTAATTAAAATGAACAGTATAAGAACAAATTACAAATATCCCTATTTGTTTTTGAACAGTTTATTTCGAATAAATTTGCTTTATTTTATAAAAATTTAAAAATTTCTTTGACTGCATTGCTTTTTGCACCAGCCTAATAAGAGAAAAAACAATACTCAGTTACAATATTTGGTTTATATTATTTTTAAACATTTTCCAACTTTTTAATTTCAGCTACAGTAGGTTTTAATTATGTATGAGATTTTCTTTCTTTGTCGGATAGTTTCTTTTTGCCGTAAGTTTTTCATTTTTTTGACTAATTTAAAATTAAATTGCACCATTGTTTTCAGTGTTAAAATTCGTTTAAAATGATGTGTCAACATGTACAGGGTCATATTTGAAATTTTGAAGTTGAACTGGGCCTGAGGTACGCTGTATAATTTTTCCCCAACAAAGGGAAAAATTTGAAACTAGACTAAACAATATTAAACCCTTTTTTATAGCACCCTGTACATATATCCGCATCAAGGGTAATAAAATCATGGAAAATTCCACCGTTATCATGATGGAAAATGAGGCATGTAAAAACATATTCGTCCATTTATAAGGCAGGTCATGCACTCTTTTCCGAATATATCGGTCAATTTAATTAAAATTAATGGAATAAATTACAAATATCCCCTATTCACTTTTGAGCAGTTTATATCAAATAAATTTGCTTTATTTTATAAAAAATTAAAAATTTGTTTGACTGCCGTTTCCAAAGCTGCATTATTTTTGCACCAGCCCAATAAAAAAAAATATTAAAAAATTAATAAATAAAAAACAATATTAGGTTTATATTATTTTTAAACATTTTCCATTTATTTATTTTTTATTTTTTAATTTAGCCTCAATACGTTTTAATTATGTAGATTTTTTGACGGCCTATCGTCTGCCATGCTGTTTTTTTATTTTTTATTTTTTTGCTGGCTAGGCATTCGCCAAGTCAACCTTGAAAAGGGTTAGACCATTCTGAAAAATTCAATACCAACCCAATTTTTACTTCTATTACAATTTAATTGATTTATAAACTTTAAGATGTGTAATTTGAATGATTTGATCTAGATATAATTAATTGATGACTAAAAGCTGATTCTTGATCTTCTAGCTAACTTAGGTATAACTAAATGGCGCTTGAGTTTGCTGCGGATAGAATGTCAGCCTATTTGTTAAATTATATGACAAATTAATCCATATTTGCTTAGTAGGTCATAATTGATTAATTATTCCAATTAATTATTATTTTTATTTAAGATTTTTGGTTGAGGTGAAAAATTAGTAGCTCATATTAAATAGCTCAAGTGGTTAGAGTAGCGGCGTATTGAACTGAAAGTCGTCGGTTCACAACCCGCTCGTGACATTAATTTTTCACCTCAACCAAAATCCTTAGATAAAAAGAATAATTAATTGGGATTATATTAAAACAATAAAGACGAACAAATTTCTATTTATAAATAAAGAGAAAATACCTT